GGCAAATGTTGTGGCTGCATACATGCGCTCATGTTCAGAGGGAGGGCAATGTATTGCCTCGTTGATTCGCGATGGCAAGTGGGTGAGTCACGCACGCTCTTGACTGCCGAAAGAAGGTTCAGCTGGTCTGCATGCTGACCGCGGTGAGACTGCAGCCTCACCCCGACAAATCGACAAAATTGCTAGAAAGCCAGTGTCAATCGGCAAAAAGCCTGTTCAAAGGCAAAGGTTGGGTCTCACAGAATATGTTCAAATCGTATGGTATTCACTCTGCCAGCATACCTGGCTCCCATACGACGCCATCGCCTGTCTGCTTGTATTGTTTGACCATCATTCGGCTGACTTTGCAGCGGCACTCTTGTTTCCGCCAAAGAACTTGCCATACGCAGCTTTTTGCTGTTCCCTCTTTGCCGCCCTACGTGCATGGATGGCCTGCTTCTCGCGCAACGCTCCCGCATCGCCAGGCGCAAAGTGCAGCGTCGTCTCCAGATCTGCCAAAGCTGCGTCTTCATTTTTGAGAGCCACTCTGGGAAAGATGAGAGGCATGGCGTGATTAGCCGCCCGATATTCTACAGCATCCGGCTCATTTGATTGCCAGCCATTACTCACTGGCCGAGCGCACGCCTGTAGTAGGCCTTTGCCAGGTCAGACTTGACTCGCTGCAGGCAAGCATGCAGGCGTCGGTAAGTAGCGTTTGTGCCAATCCTCGCATCGCAAAGATGACAAGACTCACAGGAGGATAGTCATCGGACCAATTCTCGCCGCCGATCCTAGCAATGACGTTTTGAGTCTCATTGACAGCGACCTTTCCATTCGGCGGTGTGAGTTTGAGCGCGCACAGAGCGCTGTTGAGCGAGAGAGCATTCCTGAGCGTAGCGTACTCCTCCACCAAAGCCTTGTCCTCGCTGTGCGGTTCTGGTAGGACAGGGTGCACGTTGAGGTATCGAATGGCCTTCTGCCACTTCTCCAATGCGCCTGCGAATTCGCCTTTGCCGAACCTAGCGTTGCCCAAACCGCGCAACTCCGTCGCCACGCGAAGAGCTGCTTTCGGCTGTGGATGATCGTTCGTGGAGCATGTGAGAGGCGCGGCAACCCTGTGCGCCGCCAGACGCCCTGCCACCGGCCACTCACATCCTTTTCGATTTCCTCGCCAGCATCTTCTGGCCAATCTTCATACTTGTCCTCGCCGTCGGGCTCGATGCCCCAAGGCGCGCCCTGTTCAAAAAAGAAGCGCACACGCCTGCCTCGTGTCAGCGAAGGTGCAAGCTGCAAGAATCGCGCGTTTGAGGCATGCCTACACACCGTCTCGATGACACCGCAATCGGCGATGGTGATGGGCTCCTTTGGCCTGTCCTGCGCTTCGGTCTCTACGGCCTCCATGCGACGCACGACGGCTTTGCCGGCGATCACCTTGCCAAAGACGACGTGCTGTGGATGGAAAGGGAGGAAAAGTGAGCGTGCAGATCCTGCGAGTCTTGCCTGCCACCTCATGCTCCCACCTTTCCGTCGAGGTGCGGGGTGGGCACGGTGGTGATGAACTGTAGCATGAGTGTGGCCATGCATGGGAGAATGGTAAGCAAGCGCATGGCTGAGCGACATGCTCAGCGAGCAAGGATGCGAGCTCACGAATTGAGAGCCATTGGTGCCAGGCCCTGCGTTTGCCATGGAGAGCAGAAATGGTTCTGAATGCTTCAAATCAAAATTTTCATCCTCGAACCTGTCTTGCCCCAAGTCGAGCGAGATTGAGCGATGCAACGAGGAGCGAGCGAGAGAGGGCATGTGAAGCGCGTGAACGACTTACTTTTCGCCGTATATGCTCTTGCCTCCGGTCCCGTTGTGATTTGTAAAGTCGCCACCTTGGATCATGAACTGCTTGATGCTGCGTTGGGTTGCGTTGGGTTGCGTTGCGTTGTGAAGGGGGAAGGTGGTGAGTGCGCGTGGACACGGAGTTGGACGGATGACAAGACTCATGACTCACATCCTGCAAACGTGGTTAGGCGAGCGGGTCAAGGAGCAGGGTGAGCTTTGGGGAGCAGTAGGAGGAGCAGGATGAAGGCCAGGCTCACCGATGAAAGGTGGACGCCTTGTAGTGCAGACCATCGCCCTTCTCTCCGGTAGCTAGCGCTCTAAAGTTTTCTGCAGTTTTGGGAACCTTGTCTGCAAACAACTCGAACACGATGCGGTTTTGTCCCGCCCGGCTGGCAGGTGCCTCGCCTCCAAACATCACGTCAAAGACTGGCGAGAGGGTTAGTGGGTGAGTGAATCAAGCGTGAGCGTGACTCCTGCGCATCAGTCTGAAGCGTCCGTCATGGCAACTCACACACGTGAGGATTGGCGGTGGTCATGCTGATGCTGCGTGCTAGTGGTTGTGTGCTGCGTGACTGTATGCTGCGACGGGTCTGCGGTGCGCTCTCTGTGTCGCTGCTTGCTGCGGGGGTGCTGAGTGATGTTGGGCACGTGTCGGGCAGGTGGATCTGAGTGCGGTCTCAGATGGGAGTGTAGCGCGCGATGAGTGTGGTGATGTGCGCGTTGCAAGTGTGTGGGGTCTTTAGTCAGAGAGTGTGAGTCAGAGAGTGTGTGTACAGTAGCTGCAAGTGTTGCGTGTTGATTGCTTTGCTGGTGGTGGGCTAGTCAAAGTGCATTCTGCTGCACCAGCCTTGCGGGAGCGC